AGAGAGAGAGAGAGAGAGAGAGAGAGAGAGAGAGAGAGAGAGAGAGAGAGAGAGAGAGAGAGAGAGAGAGAGAGAGAGAGAGAGAGAGGCTCTCTCATAATGGTAGACGAGCGCTGTGATGACCGAATGTTGTTGTCAATCAATCGGTGTGGGAGCTGTGTGAGTAGAGGTCGGAGTTCTTAACTGGGTCCGAAGCGTGGCAGTGCTGCGGTTTCTGTTTCCTCTCCCTTTGTGGAGGCGGAGGCACAGGTGGTCTCCTCAAGCCAGATTATCTTGATTCGTTGCCTCTGTGGACGTGTTCCTCCTTGGTATGCCATAGCCAGAGCTTCTTCCTCAGTATGGAGGCATCTCCTTCAGCTATAGCTTCGTCTTCTTCTCCCTCCCCACCCAGATTGCCCCTACTGGGCAGCAGCTTGTCTACAGCCATGGAGTCTTTCTTGTTCACCTCCGAGTCCGTCAATGAAGGACATCCTGACAAGCTTTGCGACCAGGTTTCCGACGCTGTGCTGGATGCGTGTCTTGAGCAAGATCCCGACAGCAAGGTCGCATGCGAGACATGCACGAAGACCGGAATGGTGATGGTGTTCGGAGAGATCACCACAAAGGCGAAGGTTGACTACGAGAAGATTGTGAGGGACACGTGTCGAGGGATCGGTTTCACGTCTGAGGAGGTTGGTCTTGACTGTGACAAGTGTAAGGTGCTGGTTAATATCGAGGAACAGAGTCCAGATATCGGCCAAGGGGTGCACGGAATGGGGACAAAGAGGCCGGAGGATATTGGAGCAGGCGATCAGGGAATCATGTTTGGATATTCGACGGACGAGACGCCGGAGCTGATGCCTCTCACTCACGTGCTTGCCACACAAATTGGCGCCAAGCTGACTGAAGTTCGCAAGAATGGTACGGTCCAATGGTTGCGACCGGACGGGAAGACGCAAGTGACTGTGGAGTACAGGAAACAGGGCGGCGCCCTCGAACCCATTCGCGTTCACACTGTCTTGATCTCGACGCAGCACGACGAGACAGTGTCCAACGATCAGATCGCCGCCGATTTGCGCGAGTATGTGATCAAGCCTGTTGTCCCGGAGAAGTATCTTGATGAGAACACCATCTTCCATCTCAATCCCTCTGGCAGGTTTGTGATTGGTGGGCCGCACGGCGACGCAGGGCTGACTGGGAGGAAAATCATTGTCGACACATATGGGGGGTGGGGTGCACATGGAGGCGGGGCTTTCAGCGGAAAAGACCCCACGAAGGTGGACCGCAGCGGAGCATACATTGTCCGCCAAGCGGCGAAGAGTGTAGTGGCAGCAGGGCTTGCACGGCGCTGCATAGTTCAAGTCTCGTATGCTATCGGAGTGGCGGAGCCCCTGTCAGTCTTTGTCGACACGTATGGAACGGGGAAGATTCGCGATTCTGAAATCTTGGAGATCATAAAGGAGAACTTCGATTTCCGGCCGGGCATGATTATCCTGGCATTGGACCTGAAGCGAGGCGGGAACAGGAGGTATCAGAAGACAGCGGCTTATGGTCACTTTGGTAGGAATGATCCAGACTTCACCTGGGAGCACCCTAAGCCCCTGGCGTGGAAAGGGAAACCAATCAAGCTCGCTGATTAAGGATATTCACGTAAGAAGTGGGTGATTGATGACGTTGTGAAGTGTCTGTATTACTTAATTTCATTGGGGTAAGTTTGTTTCAGATCCTCGAAGACTGAATGGGCTCCTAGTGGTTGCGCAGGAGGGAGAGAGCAGAGATGCAGTGGGTGGTTTGCTCAAAACAGTGGAGGATGGCTTGTGCACGAAAGAGCTAACACCGTACACACGGTCTCATACACACATAGTCTGGCACAGTCATGCTTTTTTTGTGCAGTTGTGTACAACGAACACGACAATGCACACACATGCACACAAACACACACATAATCAGTTCTATGTCTGTCTGTCTTTCTCTTGTTGTTTGTCCTTTCTCCAATTTTTTTCCATGTACTTTCTGTGTGTCTAAGTGAGCATTTTTAAGAAGTGCTAAATAAATAGTCAGTTGTCGGTGGCTCGGAGTGCCCGCAGGACTCTTAGGAAGGGCCGCTCTGTCTCTGATGTCTGTGGTGCATATGGTCTATGGGTGATTAATACTGATTATAGATGTCCGTCGGAGTGCCTTCCCGGCTGAGCAGGTGCTGGGAGCCAACAGTCTGTGGGGTTCACTCATGATTGGAGTAGGTGATGTGCCGCTTTGCTATGTGTTGGATGTGTAGACTGCCTTGTCTGCGCTCTGCCGGTGCCTAGCCGCCCATCCCACTTGCTTTGTATACCGTTCTTTGCAGCTGCTGTGTTCGCTGTGTGGTGTGGCTGCATTGCGGTTGTTGCCTTCTGCTTCGCTGCACTGTTGCCGTGCTGCTCGTCCTCTTGTGTGTCGTCCATGCAGTAAGTTTTTGGCGATGTGCAGTTTGGTTGATCCTGCAGCGTTGCTTGGTGCTTCACTGAGTTGTTGCCTGCTGCCATGTTCCACTTGTGGACAGTCTGCCTACAACAAGGGTCAAAGGGTTCATAACCCCAACCATCAATACAGGGATTCTGCAGATTGTCGAGGGTTCAGCCTCCTGACGAGTCGTGTCAATTCCAACGAAACAATCTATCATCCTCTGTGCTTGCTTTTTTTTTTTCGCTCTTTCGGTTTCGGTCCTTCGGAACTCGGATTTTTTTCTTGCCTGTTGTTCTTTTGTTTTTCTGCTTTTCGGCTCAGTGCCCTGTGCTGTTTGTCTGGCCGCCTGCCTTCCCCATGCCCTCCAGCATATGATTTTAGCTTCCGTCTTTCGTTCCTTGCTGCTTTCTGCTGTTTGTCTGCCCAGCCACTTCCCCTGTGCTCTCCAACCTGTGTCTTTTGCTTTCACTGTCCTTCGCGCCTGCTGATTTGTGCTGTTGTCTGCTACCGTCCTCCGCTGTGCCGTGCACCCTATGCCCCTTGCTACCCGCTGGTTGTGCAAAGCCTTATCGTTTTCCGCCCTTTCGCCTCATTTTCTTTCATGCATTGCAGCCTTTGCCTTTCTGCCTTCTGGCCCATCGTGGTTTGGTTTGTTGCTTTTGCTTCTGGTTTGTTGTTTATTTTTCACCTTTGCATGACTTCATAAGCATTCGCTTCATGGGCATACCTGGCTGTGGGCTTGTTTTCAAGTCTTGCTTTAACCATACTTTTTGATGCAGCATGCCGCGGCAGGGTCGCAGAGTTTTGATGCTATATAAACACACACACACACACACACACACACACACACACACACACACACACACACACACACACACACACACACACACACACACTGGCAGGTACTCAGCTTGCAAAAACTCTATCCCTCTGGTTTGAAGTTTGAACTGGACACAACTGATAAAAATTGATGACACTGAGCTAACGGCATCCCAAATGTGGAACTATATATGGACAGGATAGATGTGTTCCTGCCTGTTTACCAGACACTGGACTTGGCAGCCAACAAGTACCAAAGTGCCAGGAACGTCCTGTTCTACAGATCCGATGGGTGAAACAAAACCTAGTGCACGCAACTGCCAAAGTCCGTGCAACTGAATCTGTTTTATGTAACTGACGAGGATCATGCAACTTATCATGTCGCTGAGCAGGTTTCCATGCCACTGAGCCCCCCAGTGCATGCTCCACCCAGATGAGCAACACCATTTCCGTCCTTTCACACACAGCCACATGCAAGGTCCGGGTGACTGAACCTGGCTTTTCCAACTGCTCAGGAACATGCACCGAAGAGAGAGACCATTCCCTTCCTCCTTGTACTAAATCACTGCCTTTGGCACTGCAGCTGACCTTGAAATTCACTTCTGTCTGCACCAGTCCGAATGGTCTACACTGGGCAAGCATTTCTGATAGAGTGCTTACCCAGTAGTAGCAGGACAAGAAACAGTTCCAGGAGAGATACCAGAAGCAGTTCTAGGGGCAGTACCAGTGAATGGTACCAGCAAATGGGACAACCACATCGACATACAAACTATGGGCTGCGCACGTGTGCCCTCTCTCTCTCTCTCTCTCTCTCTCTCTCTCTCTCTCTCTCTCTCTCTCTCTTTCTCTCTCTCTCTCTCTCTCTCTCTCTCTCTCTCTCTCTCTCTCTCTCTCTCTCTCTCTCTCTCTCTCTCTCTCTCTCTCTCTCTCTCTCTCTCTCTCTCGCCCCTCCCTCCCCCTCCCCATCCTCTCCTCTTTCTCTTTCTCTGGTATCGTCAGTCAGAGCAATACGTGACTGTTGAGTGACTGTTCAGTGGACAGCATTTGAAACTTCGCCTACGGGTGGTTGGTCTGCGGTCACTTTCTGTATGCACGAACGTGTGTTTATGTGTGTGTGGTGCAGTTGTCACACTGATTTTTTAAATCCTCCGTCCAACTGGGATCCATACACAGAAGATTAGCATGTGCCCTCGGGGATTACATGCATGAATCATGCTCTTGCTCTTCATGCTCTTGCCCCCTGCCTCTCTCTCTCTCTCTCTCTCTCTCTCTCTCTCTCTCTCTCTTTTGTTTTTTTTGTTTTTTCGAAACAACACAGCCCCTTCTTTTCTGGGGGGCATCGGTCTGGTTGCTGATCACCGGCAAGCATGTTTCCACAACATAGAAAGGGGAAGAGGAGGAGGAGGGGGAGAAAGGAAAAGACTTAGAGTCGGCTTTACCCTTGCGGCCTAGCCGCCTGCCCATGGGGGGGACTGCTACAAACTACTCCCCTTCCCAAACCATGGCTCTTCTTCAGGGGTTCCCCTGCTGATCGGGAAGCTTACTAGCATCACCCAGTCACGCAGCAGGGGTATCCCAAGAAGAGTGAGGTGGGGGGGGCTAGAAGTCTCACAGTCTTCTAGTCGCCATCTCAATGTCTTCCAGTTTTGCGAGTGTGCTCCCTAATACTCTATTTCTTGTTCCCGCCCACTGGGCGTTTGAAAGTCACCTTCATTTCTTTCCGTCTTGTCTCTCCATTCTTGCCAAAACCACCTGTTGTGTGACGAGTGGGAGGCTGAGGGAGACATGGGGAGCTGAGGGAGAGGGGAGAGAGAGAGAGTGAGAGCACACACACACACTCGCTCACTCGACACGACTGAGGGACTCGACGGGCGCAGACACAGTGGCAAAGACACAAAGTCGAAGTCTTGGATTCTGAATGCCGAAACAGGGGCAAGTCCCACTGAGTACGAGTACAGCAGCTGAAAACTGGTCCGAGACTGGTGCCCGTACCTTACGGGGAGCCGGTATAAGTACCGGTGACACGTACGGTACCAGGGGCATTTCTGCAAAGGCCCCGAGGGCAGAACTGAAAAATGCRGTAYTTGAAAGTGGCGCCCGAATTGCAGCATGGCGCCAGTTGTCCAAAATCCTACGGTACCAAAGGAGGGGTTTGGAAAAAGGGTGCCAGGCCGAAAACGGGATGCAGCCGAAATAGCAAAAAGATAGACCAGGGATCGAGCCCTGGCGGAGTCCGTAACATGTTGTATGTACAATCTGCTACTCTTGTCTTTCCAGTCTTGTCTCGCTATTTTTGCCAAAGATCTAGTAGGTCTTCTGGCTATTCTGCCCCGTATTTATGCCTAATTTCCATCCATATTCGTCCATAATACTCCATACCTCTCCCTGCCATCCTCTCCATTCTCCCTTTATCTACTGGGATTTCTACGCTTCATGTTTCTGTGTTCATCTATGTTTTCCATGTTTTTGCTGTGTTTTAGTTTTTAAGGATTTTATCCCCTTCTGCCTCCCCCTTGTCCTTCTTCCCGCTACTTTCTACACGGATCTTTAACCCCCCCTACCTACCCATCTATTATGGTACACACACATCCTACCACATCCTACTCGTCCTCCTCTCCTTCCTTTGTAGTTATGGTGCACCTTGGTTGCTATCCATGGAACTGCGGTCTCCTACTGGTCTCTACATACTCTCGGATTCTGGTTCAGGGTGCGGTCCTCGGCGCAGCAAGACGGACCCAAGCCCCATCTGGCCCATCTGAGGATCTCGTGTCACAAGCTGTGGGTAAGGGTCCCATCTTTCCCAGAAGCCTTCCTCCCTCTGCCCCCCTGTGTGTCTTGCGCCAGGAGCGCCTCTCTAATGTTCTCCAAGGCCCTTTCCTGATTTGCCTGTAGCAGTGTTCGTTCTGCAGGGTCCACAGGGCCCACAGTACCGCCGCACATATGATTTCTCGTTGCTATTAGCCCCTCAATTTCCGGTCTCTGGACTTTCATTAGAGTCCCTAGGAGGATTGCTGCGTCATCTTCCTCTGAGATGTCCAGCGGCGTCTTGTCTGTGACTTCTTGCGCCCACCACTCCCAGAATGTCCGAGCTGTCGGGCATCGTACGAACAGATGAGGGATAGTCTCAACTTGTCCACAGCCTGCTACACATTGCTGGTCCTTGTGTCGGCTCTTTGTTGCTAGCCATTGTGCTGTGGGGATGGCCAGATGGTATATTTGCCATAGCAGGCCTGCCTGTTTCTGGTCAGGCAGGGCTGCCAGGATAGCATACTGTTCATTCCATCTCCTGTGTGTCCATCTGTTGAAGTACACAACCGGGATCCAGTCCCTCTTCGAACATCGGTCCCTCAGTTCCTCGCAGATGTCTACGGATTCCAGCAACGAGTTGTAGATATTCTTGTGGTCAATTCTTGGAGCTGCAACGTTTTCCTCTGCATCCTCTGAGTTGGTCATTCCCATTCTGCCGGGTCCCATGTCAGGTCTCACTTCCTATATGCCACCAGAAATGGCAAGTATTGCCCTTCTCCCTTGTGCCTTCTTTCACATACTGCACTGTTTCCACGATGCTTCTTGCTAGCATGCCGCCCTCTCGCAGGGGTTCACCTAGTCCATATCCCGATGTTACCTGCCACTCTCTAGCCTCAACCCCCCCTCCTGCCGATGCCCGCTCCACCCTGTACACCCTCTCCAGTCTCATGCTTCCTCTCAGCATCTTGATCCACCGGGGGGGAATGACCTCCTGCAGCTCTACCACCCTTTGCCTCCTCATTCTCCCATGCAGCACCGCCTCCATTTCGTCGTCGGGACGGCAGTCCTTCCGCTCTTTTGTCCCATAAATGCCACACGTTCTTAGACTCCCTGTTCCGCCCACTTCCATCCATAGGCACCCTGCGGGTTCTGCCATGGGAGCGGTTCCCTAGTCGCATCACAGATAAATCTGTTGTTAAACAGCAACTGATTGAAGACTGTGACCGCTGTTTTCGGCAGGCAGCATCTCATCTGTTTTTCTTTCCACAATGCCACTTTCATGCTCCACACCGTGTCCCGGTGAATATGGCCTATTGCCGCGGCGCCGATCAGGCACAGATCCACCACCTCCCTAGGCACCTGGAGTGTGTATGCCAAATGGATCCAGGTTATTTCTTGCCAAGCTCCTCCCACGGTGCCAAGTAGATACCATATCAGGTGTCGTAGGTGCAAGGCGATGATTTGCAGCCATGGGTCCGAGATCCCCAGTCCTTCAAACCGTCTTGGCTGGGTCAATTTGCTCCACGTGACTCTGCAGATGGATTCTTCAGCATCAGCGTTGTTAGACCACACTGCGCATGGATTGCCCTCTTGATATATTGGAAGGCCCGTTTGCCCGGCATGTGCACAGCGTCTGCGTACCACAGAAGTACCAAATTCTTGATTACCAGAGCCTTGCCGAAGACTCCCATGCTCCCTCTCACACTCCGTGCCTTGAATCGGGCCGCCGCTGCCATGGCTTGAATTGCCATCTGCTCAACCCCTTCGTAGCTGCCATCTGCTCAACCCCTCCGTAGCTCAGCTTTAGGTTAGCCCCCAGGAAGACCATTCTTTCTACCTCCGCTATTGTCGGGATGTCCCATCCCTCCCGCGGCTCAACCTCACGTGGGGGGATGGCCTTGGATTTGCGCCAGTTAACCCTTGTCTGAGTACTTACAGAACACAGCGAGGTCTTCTTTGAGAATTCCCGGTTGTTGGGTCGTTGGGGGGATCACTGCCCCAGAGTCGTCGGCGAATGCGGTGGACTGCAGTTCCATCCCTGGCCCTGCCTTCAGGCTGGTCAGCCGGTCGTCCGCCCCTAATATGTCGTGCATTGACATATAAGGCTGGGGATAGCGGGCACCACTGCCTAACCGATCTGGTGATCTTCAATTTGTCTGATCGGACTCCGTTTACCTGGATCACAGTTGTGGTCCCCTTCAGCAGGCTCCTGACCCAGCTGTGAAGATCCCCCCTATTCCCCGGTGCGCCATCCCCTGCAGTACTCTAGGTCTATGGACACAAAGGCCATGACCTGCCCTGTACATTCGTCTTCTTCCAGGATCTGCTGCGCTAGTAGCACGTTCGAGAGGATCTGGCCCTGCTACAAACTCTGCCTGGGTACAATCAGTAATGTGCGGCAGCACTTGCCTCAGCCGAGTGGCCAGCACCTTGGCCAAGATCTTGTGTAGCGCACTCAAGATGGATATCGGATGCCAGTTGCGCAGGTCCTCCTTCGCCCCCTTCTTGTAGAGAAGGACTATGTAGGCGTCTGCGAAGCCCTGCGGGAAGGAGTCGTGCCTCAGTGCCTCGTCGTATGCTGTTGTAAGCAGGGTCACGAAAAAGCAGCGGAAATCCTCATACATCTCCACTGGCATCAGCCGAGTGGCCAGCACCTTGGCCAAGATCTTGTATAGCGCACTCAAGATGGATATCGGATGCCAGTTGCGCAGGTCCTCCTTCGCCCCCTTCTTGTAGAGCAAGACTATGTAGGTGTCTGCAAAGCCCTGCGGGAAGGAGTTGTGCCTCAGTGCCTCGTTGTATGCTGTTGTCAGCAGGGTCACGAAAAAGCAGTGGAAATCCTCATACATCTCCACTGGCATCCCGTCCAGCCCGGGCACTTTGAGCCAGGGGAGCTCTGCAATTGCTGTCTCCACCTCTTCTGCCCTGATATCGTCCTCCAGTCCACACTTGCTTTCTAAGTCCAGTCAATTCCAAACGTGCTTCCTAACTTCCTGCTCCAGCCCACTGGCCATCTCCACCAGTGTCGACTCTTCTTCCGTTAATAGTCGTCGATAGAAATCTGTCACATACTTCAAGATGCCTCATGTGGTGTGCTACTTTTCTTGATTCTCATCAAACAGGTGGCTCATTGCTGTCATCAATGGTGCCGCCTTACGTGTGCCTATTGTGGCAAAGAATCTACGGATTCTACGCGACGTGTGGTCCCCCACCAGGATCCACGACTCCTTAGTGCACCTGCCCCATTTGACTGCTTCTTCCTTCTGCCATTCCTTCCAGTTTTGGGCCGCCTCCACTCTCTCCGCCCACCATTCATCTTCCATTTGCTCCCCATCAGGGCCTTTGTTCAGCTCCTCTGGCCTGCTAACGTACTCCTCTCCTGTCCTTTGGTGTGCCAGGTAGCTGTACCGCAGCTGTTTTGCAAGGTTCCTTCACAGGTCCTGAGTCGCCGTCACCACATGGTCCAACAGAAACTGGGCCGCCATTGGTCGGAACTCCGAGCTTTTAAACACCCACGTCGGTATCCCTTTCGGTGGGTGGCCCATCTCTAGCCTACCCACCGGGAAGCTTGCCATTACTGCTGAGTGATCCAACGTGGCCATTGGCTTGATCTGCGCTTGCTCTAGTGCTTCATTAAGGCCTGTCGAAGCCCATATCATATCAATTCTACTCCTGGTCACTGTGTTCCCGCAGAAGGTGTAGGCCTTTTCTTGCGGGTCATTGTTTTTATGAGTCTGTGCAGCCCAGCCCAGTCATTCTGTTGATGAGCGTGAGCGAGTTGGCCTCCATCTGCCTTGGGTGGGCGGCGTCCAGACTTGGATCGGCAGTGGAATTGAAGTCGCCTGCTATAATAAATTTGTCTTCATCTGGTACCACGGTCTGTAGGCTTTCCCACATCCTGCATCGCATTCCAACTTCTGGCGGGCCATACACTGTCACCAGTCCCCACATTTCCTCCTCCCACTGCAGTGTCACCCATGCCCACCTACCCCTTGAGTCATAATACCAGTCCATGACTTCCCCCCTAAAATGGGGGATACCAGGGTGCATACCCCTCCTTTTGTGCCCTGCCGGTGCCCATATCTGGTGGCCTTTCCACCATAGCGCCGGTTCTTCCGTCTTGAGCTCATTCAGCTTGGTTTCCTGAAGGCAGACAACATCGATCCGCTCCGCTGCCACCTGCTTCGCCAATTCCCTTCGTTTGGACAGGAGTGACCTTGCTCCTATCCCCCTCACGTTCCATGTCATTATGTTAAGCCGATTAAGCCGATTACATTTCCTACCCACACTCATGCCCCTTCTTTTAAAACCTCCTTCCTTCTCCTCCTACTTCCCCTTGCGGTCCCTCTATCCATCTATCAAACCATCCCCTCGCCTACTACGCCTAGCCTTCCCTGTTTTTGTGCGGGGGGGGTGGGTCCCCTCCCTGTGACACCCTACAGGATAACATATCCCTTTATCTTTTACGCCCCCCTTTCCCATACCCCTATCCCGTTCTGAAGCCTCCCCTGTTTTTGTGCTTGGGGGGGGGGGGTCCCCTCCCTGTGACACCTTACAGGATAACATATCCCTTTATCTTTTACTCCCCCCTTTCCCATACCCCTATCCCGTTCTGAAAGTGCTCGTTTCCAACATGATCCTCTTGTGGGAGGCGCACATTGACACTGTTAAGAATGGCCAGGGAGGTCATGTACAAGACATGTAGTTCTTGTGGAATTGCAGCCGGCCCAAAGGCTTCTTCAAAAGGAATCCACTGCATGCCTCTGCCCTGCAGCCTCGGGTTCCCCGGTCTTTTGGAGAGGACTTCGACAAAGTACAAGATCGCTGCATATTCCTTCCCTTCAAGCGTGCGGTGGATGAATCTGGAGCCCGAGATACGGGACATGGACCGCACTTCAAACTTTTGTCCCACCCACTGCATCACCTGCTTCACCACTTGTCGCTCTTGTGGTAGCTTGTTCATGCAGAAGATCAGTACTTCTGTTGCCCCCTCCATCAGCATCTTAATCTTGCCCGCAGTCCGCCATAGGGTGATGGGGCACACGCAGCACTCTGCTGCCTGCAGGATGCTCTTCAATCCCATCCCTTCCCGTTCTTGCTTTGCTAGCTCTACTAACTGGGCGAGCAGCTCCTGCTGTTGCCCCTCCTCCCTTCCCTCCACAAGATCTGTCTCTGTCCTAGCCCCCCTTGCTTCCGTTGACTCGCTCAGCAAGGTTTCGTCCTTGGGCACCGGCCGATTTCGGCCCTGCTCCATTCCATTCTTCTGTCGGCTCCCTGGTTGACTGCTCCCCCTCCACCTTCTCAGTCCCTGACGTTTAAGGTCTACCCCGTGGTCTCCCCTTCCCCGTGGCTCCCCGTATCTGCTTCCCCCGAGGTTACCTCCCTGTCCTGGTTGCATCTATTCACGTCTATCCCCTCCACCGGAAGGCTGTAACTCGTGTCCCTCGGAAGGATTGAGCCTGAGGGGGATGGCGAGACATCCGTACGCCCTTTCCCTCTCAACCAATACCGCGGTCCCAGCCCCCTTCCCCCCAATGGGAAATGCTCCTTTTCTCATCTGTACGGCAAATGCTCGTGCAAGGCCGGCTTCAGTTGGTGAGTGCCTGTCTTCCGTGTTGACCCGGCCTCTGTTGACGAGAACGTGGGGGCCAGGGAAGCACTCCGCTGACGACGAGCTTTTGGGGGGGCCAGCGGTCACCATCTTCGTTCTGCGCTTGTATCCAATCGGAGACCTCTCTCTTTTGTCTCCGGTATCTCATAGACCAGCCTACCCTGTACCTGGGGAGTTCTCAATTCACCCGGACTTCCCTGCCTTCCCTGTATGCCTTCGTCCCCCCCCCTCCTTCTCCGTTGCCTCTTGTACCTCTTGTTGCTCTTGTTGCTCCCTCCTTGACCCCGTGCCCGTTTCCCCCGTCCTTCGTTCCTCCTCTCCTTCCTCTCCTCCATCTTTTCCTCCTTCCTCCTTTCCCTTTACCTGCTCCTGCCTTTGTCCCCCCCCCTCCCATCATGCTTCCCCGTTGCACTTCTCTTTCTCCTCACCCCTCACCCCCCTCCCAATCCTGCTTCCCTCCTTTCCTCCTGATGACCCCTTCTTCGCCCCCTTCCCCTCCCTCCTCGTCTCCCTAACCCTCCATTTCTCCTGCTGCTCCTCTCTCAACCCCTGTTCCATCGAGCTCTCCTGTTCATCCGGCCCTTTCTCCCCCCTCCCTTGCCCCCCTCTTACCCCTTCTTCAGTGCCTTTACTCGTCTCCCCCATGCTCTTGCTCATCCCTTCCTGCTCTCCTCTCCCCCGGTGGTTGCTTCGCCTTCCTTTTACGGTCATCACAAAACAGCCAGTGCGGCTCATCCGTTTGCATGGGGTCATCCCCCTTCCTTCCCCCGAAACATTCCGCCGAAGTCCCCCTCCGCGTCGGGCACTCTCCTATGTCGTGGCTCCGTTTCCCTTTCTCTTGCCGCTTCTCTTTGCTGCTGCACCTTTGCCCTCATCCAGAGAAGATTAGTAGCATGTGCCCTGCGGGGATGACACGCATGAATCGTCCTCTTTGTCTTCTTGGTCTTCCTCTCTCGTCCTCTTCATGCTCTTCCTCCCCATCCTCTCCCTCCCCCCCCGCCCTCTCTCTCTGTCTCTCTGACGCGCACACACTTGTTTTTCTTTTCCCTCGGCCAAAATCTTTTTCCCTCTGGTACATGTACAACATCTTCACATGAATACATCTGAATTATACTTGTGGCGCATAGGTGAGGTGCGCTGCGATGATCGCAGACGTGCAAAAAAAAAAGAAAAGAAAGAAAAAAAAAAAGGAAGAAAGAAAGAAAGAAAGAAAAAGCAACCGTGATGTGTGTATACATGCCGGAGAGAGAGAGAGAGAGAGAGAGAGAGAGAGAGAGAGAGAGAGAGAGAGAGAGAGAGAGAGAGAGAGAGAGAGAGCCCTTTCACATTATCCAGAAAACCCCTGCAGGTACTTCAAAAGGTCCCTGCCCAAAATTAGCAAGGGTCTCGTCGGCAGGAGAAGGGTAGTCATTGGACTTGTAGTAAGGAGGGAGCATGGGTAACTTGACTTACTAAATCGGCATGTGATTTTCAGGGCTTCACTCCACTACTCACCAAACGTGCAAAACTAGAATAAATCTTCTTCTAGAAACCGGAACCATACAAGCCATATGTTTTTCTTCTGTGATGAGTGGAGCGAGGCCCTTAGGGCCTTAGGGCCACTGCACGTAAGGAAAGGAAAAACAAAAAAAACAGCACAGCTACTGTAGTGTTTGTAGTAAGTTCGTAACCCATAACTCTTGGAACACAGACCTGAATCCGAATCCAGGATATATTCCTGGCCTGCTCGTGTGCCTCCAGCAGTTCGGGGAACGTCCTTCGAAATGCATGGGATCCCTGCTAATTCTTTGCGGGGGACCTTTGGGAAAAGGGCATACTTGCGGCGCACAGGACCAGTGTGCGCTACGCTATGTGCCGGGCGAAGCGCACATACGCACGCGCGTGCAGGCATGCGCGCATGCTAGAACATGGAAATATACACTGCTAGACATGTGCGTGTGTGCGTGTGTGTACGTCTCGAAATCCGAATACGCTACAACGTGCAACTATGAACTTGTATTCGAACATGAGTGGCGCACCGCCCTCGATAACGCCTGTCTCTTATACACATATAGATGTGTATAAGAGAGAGGAGAGAGAGAGAGAGAGAGAGAGAGAGAGAGAGAGAGAGAGAGAGAGAGAGAGAGAGAGAGTTTTCCATCGATAGGATGAGCAACACACCAGCGAACTGGTAAGCCTCCAACCCTGTGGCTGGCCTCACGCTGCTGCCCGGCTATGGAGGATGGCCGACGGAGGACTTCGGTGAAGACGGCCGAGGCATGAAGACGGCCAAGGGTCTTTGACTCTTCAATGACGACGGCGGCGTGAGGACGAGGTGGAGGACACGAGTGAAGTGTCTGGCGGCCTGGGCGGAGATCACCTCACCCAACATTCGAATTCGAACGTCCGAACGTTGGGACAAAAAAAATTATGGGCCTTGGCGTAGCCCCAAAAAAATTGCGGGGCCCTGGTTTCATTTGTACGACAACCCCCCCTATCACTTGCACCCCGCCCCCCAATTTTTTTTTTTTCGTCAACCCTTGATTTAGGCCATGCGGCACACGTCGTGCGTGCGCTGTGCTATGCGGCGCATGTGCGCAAGCGCCGCGCACGACGTGTGCCGCAAGTATGGAAAAGATACTAGATCCAATGAGACGTGGCCCCAAATTAATGTTTTCCTGTGCACTTCAATTTTCAAAAGGGAGGGACACATTTGGTTACCACGTCAAGTACGCGTGCACGTGTGCGTGTGCAATATGCAACGCACGTGCGCAACTTGCGCGCACGCGATGCGCCGCATGTATGATCTGCACTGAAAGTGACCTGAAGTTCAGCTACGATGACCAGGCTTTTATTCGTGTAGAAGGAAGGAGAAGGTGGAGAGGTGGAGGGCAATCCCTTTTCCAGATCATTCTGTTGGCTCGATTTCGAATCACGTATACTATATAATACTCTCTCTCTCTCTAACACATACACACTCACACACATATTTTTCTTTCCCTCTGTCAAAATTGGATCAAAACAGAGTAGTACCATGTGCCATGTGGGGATGACACGCTTGAATCATGCTCGTCCTCTTCATGATCTCGCATGAATATTGCTCTTCCTCTTCTTGCTCTTCCTCCCTCGTCGTCTTCCTCTTCGTGCTCTTCCCTCCCGTCCTGTCACTCTTCATTCTCTTCCTCCCCATCCTCTCTCTCTTTCTCTCCGGTATTGTCCACAGGTGGATGATCTGCGCATCTTTCCTCTGTCTCTCAATCGCCCCTTTGTTCTCGGTCACTATCTGTGCGCGCGTGTATGTCCATGTTTGTGTGTGTGTGTGTGCGTGTGAGTGTGTGTGTTTGTCTGAGTGGTGCTATTGTCACACTGGTTTTATGCACTGGTTCTCCCTTTCTCTCCGTTCTCGCCCTTGTCCCAACTTGTGTATCACAATGTCATCGGACTCATTGACGAGGTGTGCTGAAGGTATAAAAGAGCACGCTCACTCTGGGGCTTACCAGGATGCCATGAATGTAATCATGATGACTTGGATCCCTGCACTTATAGAAATCGCTTATGTGAGAAATTTGGCATTGGGGCCGTCCGCGGTCCTACAGGGCCGACGGCCCGGATTGTCATGCGATCTTAAGATTTTAAGATCTTGCGGCGATCCAGGTCGNCCGTCCGCGGTCCTACAGGGCCGACGGCCCGGATTGTCATGCGATCTTAAGATTTTAAGATCTTGCGGCGATCCAGGTCGTCTGTGGACCTGCTGGGCCACGGCCAGGATCGACGCGTGATCTTAAGATCTTAAGATCGCGCAACGATCTCGGCCATCGGCCTGGTACCGGTTGGCCAACGGCCCAGAAGTTTGCAGCCCAACGGAAGTTAGGGCTGCCAGGCCAGGGAAGAAAACGGTTCCAGGCGGGCCTGTCTCCTATCGAGCGCAGCGGTTCGACCCTTTTCCCACGCATATCTTTGGCGGCACACCGAGGTGGTGTATAGTGAACTTGACACCACACATTCACATGGACGCGCGCTTGCTCGTCAGCTCGAGCACACGCGCAAATGTACCCACACACACATGCATGCATGCACACGCGCAAATGCATCATGGACAGACTGTCGGGGTTCAACCTCCTGCTGAGTTGATGAAAGTCCAATGAAACAGTCTGGATCAGTCATGCTTTTTTGGGGGGGCTCACACACACAGGAAGTGTGTGTGTGTGTGTCCTGATGAGTTGGTGAAAAGTCCAACGAACCAGTCTGGCGCAGTCATGCTTTTTGGGGGGGGTTCACACAAACACACGAAGTGTGAGTGTGTGTGTCCTGATGAGTTGGTGAAAGTCCAACGAAACAGTCTGGCTCAGTCATGCTTTTTTCGGGGGGTTCACACAAACACATGAAGTGTGTGTGTGTGTGTCCTGATGAGTTAGTGAAACTCCAATGAAACAGTCAGGCTCAGTCATGCTTTTTTAGGGGGGTTCACACAAACACACCAAGTGTTTGTGTGTGTGTGTGTGTGTGTGTGTTGTGTGTGTGTGTGTGTGTGTGTGTGTGTGTGTGTTGTGTGTGTGTCTGTGTTGTGAGTGTGTGAGTGTGTGTGTGTGTGTGTGTGTGTGTGTGTGTG